CAACATTCACGAAATTTAAATTCCCGACACGAGGCTTTACGTGTTCGTGAGCACTGTAGTTTACTACTTCGGGAGGTGATAGGTACAAGGCTTCTCAGTGAACAAGGACAAGTGACGGCTGTACGTGAATTAGTTACTAGCTTTGTCAAACAATGGCCTGCATTAATGCCAAATCAAGTTGAACCTTCAAAATTGTCGCTTGTATGTGCTGTTAACGAAATTTCCGGATTATTGCTGGATCTAGGAGGAGCTGCAAGTACTGTTTTGGTATTGTATATCGAGATGTCTTTGTCTACTTAACATTTGATTAAGAATCTAACAAACCTTCGCTTAAAAATTTCATAAGGATGTGCTCGTGGATCCATTAATTACACTCTTGAGTCATTCAAGTTATACAGTGCAGATTGCTACTGCATGGTGCTTAAGGTGTTTATGCCTTTCTTTACCTGTAAAGCTAACCGAACTTATCACAAGAGTTCTTGGACTAGTTGACAAAGATCTGAATCACTTATCAAATCAGTCTGCACCGCCGGATTTGCCAAAGCGGACATTGGGTCATACTTACGGATTGGCAGCTCTTTTAAGCGTAGTCCCTGCTCGTCCACTTGATGTCTCTTTTGAATTAAGTGCTCGTGTGTTCTCACTTGCTACCCAATTGATCAAAACAAGCGCTAACAAGGATATGGTAGTGGCTAGTATTCAGATACAAGTATCATGGATTTTAGTTGGTTCGCTAATGTGTCTTGGGCCCAACTTTGTCAAATTGCATCTTCCGCAATTGCTGCTTTTGTGGCAAACAGCATTACCAAAGCCCAATTCGAAGGATCTTGTCACAAACCGCACTGAAACTGAATGGTCATTCATGTTTCATGTTCGTGAATGTGCTTTAGGTGCTATGCTCAGTTGTATATTACACAACTCCAAAATAATTTCTCCGGATGTAGCCAAAAGGCTTTCTGCTTTGTTGAGTAATACTCTGGTCTTTGTTTCATCGGCTCCTTCAACCTTTTCAAGTACAAATACACCTAATGGCTCTACAACTTCAGTAACTTCACACCTCCCTTCAGTTTCGCTAAAACTCTCAGATCACGAGATGTTATTAAAACGTCGATTGTTGCAATGTTTTGTCGCAATTCGGCCAGTGTCTTCTTACGAGAATCTAAGTACGCAGCTCCTAAAATTGAGCCTATCATATTTTGCAGATCCCGAAAAATATTTGGGATCTTCTATAATCGCAGCTATTGCTGCCGTATCTGGATCCTTTACGAGTGTTTGGACTGTTGGAGATGAATGTGCCTTTGGAGTTACTAGTAGATTACAGGGAATGAATATTGACATTGCTAACGCGGCACGTGGGGATCAAAGTAAAAGCGCTAGTAGAGTAACAACCAAAGATTGGTTGAATCGAGATTTGGTTGAAAGTCGCCTAGAAAATCAGGTAAAGTTTTATTGATTTCAAGGTGCGATTTACGTTTTCTTTTGTGATTGTGTTAACTTTATTACGACATGTAGCTTGAACAAGCTATAATTGGGGCTCCTGAGTACGACTCGCTGATGATATACACAACCTATTGGGAATCATCTTTATCATGTGTTCCCAAACCTGTTCCGGTGGTTTCTGCACTCGTGGACTATAGCATTGAGCTTTTTGCGTTAGTTTTTCCGTTGCAAAAATCATCGCTACAGGAATTTTTTTTGGA